ATTGACTTTTTTCCGCTTTTTACATTTAGACAAACTTCGAACCGTCACTTTTTTTAAGATCTTTATAAAAGTAAAGGTAAATTTATATTTTTAATAACAAAAATATATGTATTTTTGCAAGAGGAAAGATAATTTCTTAAGATACAAATGCTATTAATTGGACAGTTTTCATGTAAAATACAAAAAATTATTTTTTAATAATAAGAATAAATTTTTTAATATAACAAACTCTAATAGAATACTTTTTAAGCTAAATATTTATTTTTTATTTTAATTATGCAATTATGCATTAAAATAGAAACAAATTATATTGTTTCATTTTGAAGATAAGAGATAAGTGGATTAAAAGGATAATTTATTTGGTTTATTTTTTATTTTGAAAATAATAGATATATGGGTTAAAAAGATGATTCATGTTTCAATGTAATAATTTTTTTGATTAAATAAAATGAATTTTTAAACTAGAGATTAATATTATCATTATTGTTTTTATTTTTATTTAATTTTTTTTTTATTATTATGCCATTCGTCCCTAACCTTCTTTTTGGTCCAATGATTGGAAATTTGTAATAAAGATGTTAATACTAAATTTGTATCATTATCTGTGGGATTTGTATTAGCTAAATATGGAGTAAGAATTTCTATTTCTTCGGATATTTTAATATGCCGTGTTCTTTTTGTGGGACGTTCTTCATTTATAGTTGATGAAATAATTTGAGAAGTGAATTGAGGATTTGAAAGGTTTTTTGAAGAGACCGATTGTAATGTAGTTGATATATTCGAAGAAATTAATGTATTTGATACAGTTGATATTGTATTTGTTATAATTGTTTCTGTTTGATTACGTTTTTTACTTGTTTCTCTAATATCTTTAACTTTTGTTACTACTATTCCTTTTGCTCTTCTACCTTTTGTATATATTGGTTCTATATGTAATACTTCTTGTTTGTATATTTGTACAGGAAATACTTTAATGCAACTTAAATGTTTGCTCCTTTATTTCCAATGGCTGGCAAAAATACTGGATCAGTAAATATCACATGTGATAATCATTATTTTGCTTTTGATG